CTACTATAATATACACAAGTCTGTTTTCTTTTTTTCAGTCCATTGGGAAGTGTTTATTGTGTGTCAATGGCAACAACACTGCATCTATGGGTATCATCTAGGTAAGATTACTGTGGGATAGTTGTGCACTCCTGCCTCTCAGCACAATGTGAAACGGTTTCTCCAAAGCCAGAGTGGTTATTAGCAAAAAGAATAACTGAGTCTAAGCACAGTGGAAAAAATATAATATCTTGATAAAAATGATAAAAGTCAACATCCGCCCAGTATTCATTAGCACAATCTCATCATTTGAAAAGACTGCGATTATAACATCAACATCAACATCTCATGTCATGGATTTGGATTGGATTTATTCAAAAATATACTGAAATCATACTGACAAGGTTTTTGACATTGATAGACTTCTACTACTATCAACTGCACATCAATCAAAAAACATGTTTTTGATAAATGAATGAGCCACTTACAATCAAGTTAGAGTGGTTTTTTTGTTTTTTTTCTCTAGGCAGTGATTACGTCTATGTTGACACTGTTGCATGACAGCCAAAACGGCGTCACAAATAATTGAAATGACAATAAAGGTTTTGACCAGCAGGGGGGTATGTTTGCACATGAAGCCTTAAGAAACTAACCTTTTTTTAAATCATTTAAATGGAAAGCTAAAAGTCTCCATGAGGCTTCATCTGTCACTATCTGACACCATGTTTAAATATCCATTTATTATAACCGTGCTATTTTACATGGAAGCATTAGTATCAGCATCAACAGGGGTGAGTCTAAAAGGGGGCATCGGGTGTACTAGACCATATTTATTTAATGGCTTTCGTAACCAAACAAAGCAATTGTCTTTATTATCTCACATCAGTATAATTTTATATGAATTAAGCATATTTCACAAGATTTTCAGTAATTATTAAATTGTTGTGTGTGGACATTGGGAACATTCTAAAATTGTTGTAAAAACATCAATAACTAATTTTAGGGGAGGAAAAAGGATCATTCACAATGTGCACCAGGCACAACTGTACATGTTGCATCTGCAAGGCAAATATAAGAAACTTAAGTTCAGTATCAGTAGCTTGCTAATATAACACACTACCTTTACTCTAGTTAACAGAGGTGTCAACTAACCATTTTTTAACTACTGAACCAACCCTTTGCTTTCATAATATTCAGAGGAGAGTGGGCTTGCTAGCAAAGTTAATGACTGAGGTAATGTTAGTGGTTTCAGTTTTTTAGCTGCTTGTACCCAATAGTTAGGATTCAGTACACATGCCTCTTTAAATTTAGACAGATGTATCTATTCTAATGTGTCCTTCACTCATACAGACTTGTTATTGTTTCTTTCAGTAGATTCATTATGACTTGTTGGTGTCAAGTCAAACTTACCTTACTTACCAAAAAGGTAAATTTCAACCACAAGCATTTTAAGGATGTTCAGAAATTACACATCTCAGTGCTGTGGTGTGCTACACCTGGTTACACTTAACTACTGCTTTGGTGAAGGAATAACGTATCTATCTATCTATCTATCTATCTATCTATATATCACAATCTATTAAGCATTATTAGGATATTATCAAGCGATTAATTCATCATTTAAATAGCATTACTCCTCCTTGGTATCCTACTTATAAATACCCATATTTTATTATGACTATTATAACGACTATGGTTTTTACTAGCAGTAACTGTACATAGTTAAACAACGTACAGCAGTGATGGTGTACATGGTTTTTGGTATTAGTAACAGATGGATAAACATATTTATTTATAAATGAAATACCAAGGAGGAGTAATGATATATAAATGATGAATTGAAGCACTCACTACAACCATACTAATACTTACTAATGCTTAATAGTGTTCCATTATTGTAAAGTGTTACTATTTTTTATTAAAATACACACAAAACCCCATTAGACAGTTAGTATAATAAAAAACAAACATAGGATTGCTGTATTTTTAAACCCATTTACTAGTTTAATAAAAGTATTTTGACTTTTATTTAATGGGTGTTATATTATTATGACATTAATTATGGATTAAAAGTAAAAGTATAACATTGCATATAAGATACATAATAAAATCCAACAGCACTGTAATGTTAGGTCTGATTAATTGTATTAGAACAGTGATTGGCGATATTATTAGGTAATTTTGTTGTTTACACACAATTATTTTGCTGTATATTTCTGTTGTTGTTGTTTTACAGTGCAGGACAGAGAAGATCCAGCATCACAGGGGGAAAATCATTTGAAAAAAAAAATCTAAATAATTAAAGAGCTTTCAACGTTGTCATCTTACGTCTGAAACTGTATTTGCTGACTTAGATTGTGGGGGAATTCTGAGCTTCTGCATTAAATGTTCAGCATTTCTTTGGCACAGAGTGGACAAACGATTAGAAGTAAAGGCATACAGGAGTGGATTCACTGCACCGTTTGCAAACGTTAGTGCTGTAACAGTGCCCCATGCTGCTTCGCAAAACTTCAGCAAGTCCTTATTGTTTAGGGAAATAGCTGCCACGCCCAGGACATTTATGGCAAGACATGGCACCCACACGACAAAAAAGGTTACAATGATGCTGGTAATGAGTCTGGTGGTCTGTGGATTGTTGAAAAAGGCTGCCTGATTCACCTCTCTGTAGAGGCAGATGTATGAAAAAACATTGACAGAAACTGAAACAAAACCCACCACTATCTCTGTCAACAACACGGCCATTGACTGGTTCACCGAATAGTATTGATGTTTGCAATATGTCCAGTCTGACTGTTGTACCAGCTGTCGAACCACTAAAGCAGGAATGGACAGGATCATTGCAACCAGCCAGAGTGGAACCAGCAGCTTCCATGCTTGTACGTGGTTTAAATTCCTTTGCAGGTATACCACCTGAAAGTAACGCTGGACACTCATCACAGTCACAGTCAGCAGGCTGGCATAAATGCTGCAGTACCCAAAATATGTTATGATCTTGCAGCCCACCAGGCCCAGGGCCCAGCTGTTGAGTAAAGAGTAAATCCAAAATGGAACGGTAAACATGCAAAGTAGGCCCGACACAGCCAGGTTCAGCATCAAACTCTGGGTCAGACTGGACATGTTCTCCCAGTTTGGCTTGAGAATGATGACAGCGATGTTTCCAGGGAATCCCAGCAGGAAGGAGATGGACATCACTACTGTAGCAGCTATACCACTGTAGTCCCATGAAAAGTGGGGTGAATATCCAGGAGAGGAGGAGATGTTAGAAGTAACCACAGCGTTGGTGAGCTGTGCCATTCTGCAAGCTTCCAGGTAATGATGTGCTCTGAGCAAGTGATGATAATAAATGTCCTGTCACATGAACTGTCAAAGAGGAACTAACAACAAGGAAACAGTCGTTTCAATGTAAACATTTACACCCACGGTGTCAGGATTTTGCATGGCTCTTTTTATACATTTTTGAATTTATTACAGGTTATAACCATGTACCAAAGTTTGCTGCTGTTCCCACAAAAATGTGCAAAAATGTGTGAATAAAACTCAACCCAAATCCTGCAAATACTGTAAATGCTTTATGTCTGTAATACACATCATTTGTCAGTAAAACTTGAGAATTTTTATTTTTGCATTTATTTATTTTTGGATTTTGCATTTTTCTATCTATACACATTTGCATGTGTTTGTATAACTGGCATATTAGTTTTATTTACAAATTGAAAGGAAAAAAAGAACATTAATTTTTTCCAACCCATACATTATTGCTTTTTAGCCTATAACAACTATAATCAGGGTATATCAGCCTAAAGGAACAAGTGAAGTGATGAGGAATAATCTGTCTGAAATCCATATGTGGCTGTCATCAATGCATTACAGTAAATATCAGTCTCTCTAGTATTTCTATTCAACATGCACCAAAAAATGGGAGGATCGTCGAAGGGAAAATGTTGTCTGTGAAGGTTCCCAGTCATCCAGGTCATCATAGTCTAATGAGCTTGGAAAGAAAAGCATGTGGACTTCTTTAAGTTGCTTGAAGATGCAACTTGAAGGTGACCTCTCATCCGAGAAGTTTCTTCGGGGCTAGAGTCAAATGGTAGAGAGTCCCAGATTTAAGCTCTATCTGAGTTAAATTGTATTGATATAGCACTGAAACACAACACCATTTCTTTACCTTACAGCACATATACTGTAAGATAAAGACCCTACAGTAATATAGAAAAAAAACAACCCTACAATCAAATGATACCCTATGAGCAATCACTGGGTGACAGTGAGAAACAAAAACTGCCTTTCAACAAGAAGCCGCCTCTGGCAGAACGAGGCCATGTACTGGATTGGTTGGGGTAAATGAAAAGAAATTAGACTTTCACTTAAAAAAAACTGCATCAACTCAGAGTAAACACAAACATCTAAAGTTGAGAAATAATAAAATAAAATAAAAAATGTTTAGAATCTGTTATTACGGTCACTGATAGGGTAGGTGGTGGCAGGTGTTTGATCATGGTTAGGCAGTAAAGTTAATTAAGTTGGTTATGAAAACATTGTAGTTGGAGTTACATTTGCTTACTGTATGTACTCTCAGTTGTTTTCTGTTTGTTATTCACTAGAATTGACAAAACATGTCCTCAGGCTTAAAACTTGTATGAAATTTAGAATAATAATAATAGAATAATCCTTTAATTGTCCCACAAGGGGAAATTTGGGTGTAACAGCAGCAAGAAAGACACATATACAAACAAACAGTACACAAGACACAGAACAGAAACATACACAATTTTTACATGTTTACATCAAGGACAATTGTTACCAAAAACAGAGTACTGGACCGTTATTAAATTAAATAAAATTTAATACAGATCAGAGGCAAACCCTGGTTATAGTGTGAATTGGTTGATAAAATAGTGCCAAGTTACAGCGCTGATACAAGCCTCTGTGTTTGTTCGGAGCAGTTTTGAT